TTCGGGGACACCGAAGAGAGGTACTACCAGCCGATTGACAGGAGCGGGCTCACTCCTGCCACCCATCTACAGTGAAGCGTGGGCCAAAGGAAACGCAGTGGTATCCCTAGGCCATCAATCTCCTGCCTACGGGAGAAGCGTGGGCAAAGGGAACACAAAGGATCCCCAGAACACCATTTTCCTCCTTACGGGACGCAGCACAAGGCAAACATGCGGGTCGGAAAACCAACGTTATTAGTCGAAAACAAATAAAGCAACATATTCAAAGTATTTAAAGAAATATGCGAAAAATGAACTAAACTAACACAATACAAAATGTAAACCATAAAATGTTAGTAATAAAAAGAAAGTTTTTTCAATAGAAAAAACACAATTTGAACAAAGTTCATTCTTTAATATAGGTCTGTGGTCTAGACGGGAAGAGAAGAAAAGGGAAATTTGAATGGCAAGAAGAAGTGCCGAAAATAGAAAAGGATCACTAGGGTATCCTGGGTTCGTGAAGCCCATGTTTACCAAAGACCTTAGGAAGAGAAAAAGATCATTAGGGCACCTCGGGAGCGTAAACCCGTACTCACCTAAAGAAGGTGAGCATCCTGAGGGGTCCAAATTATCTGGAAATACTAATGTAACCACCATGTTTAGAACCTAGGACCTTCCGCGTGTTAGGCGGAAAAGGATAACCACTACACCATGGGTACACAAGGGAGGAGAGATGGTCCGTAACTGGTTCACGTGAAATTGATTCTATTCAAAAGATTCTCTGAATGTCTCACAGAATGCGAGTTAAATAATAAAAAAAAATTCCAAACTTCGGTGATCCAACACAGAAATCGTACAGATGCCTCATCTTACTGCACGAGAGTAAGAACGGAAGAGAAAAAAATTTTTATCCAAAGCCCAACAAATTATCTGGAAAAACTAATGCACCCACCAGGTTTCGATCCTGGGACCTACCGCGTGTTAGGCGCATGTGATAACCACTACACCATGGTCACACAAGGGAGGAGAGATGGTCCGTAACTGATTCACGTGAAATTGATTCTATTAAAAAGATTCGCTGTATGTCTCACAGAATGCGAGTTAAATAATAATAAAAAAAAAAATTCCAAACTTTGGTGATCCAACACAGAAAA